AATTTATGGCAGCTGCTTTTATTTACCTGCTTGATATTCGACGCTACAAATACGATATAAACGCAGCATATTCCCAATTGATACACAATCATGAACCCGTCTACGAGTCCTCTGCAAATATAATAGCAACTTTCATGTACACAGTTGAATAAAGATCGCCGAGCCGCTTGGCGGAAGTGATTCTTGTGCTTTGTGTGGTTATGAATTGATTGATATTTGTGAATGAGGGTTGAGAAAATGTTTCTACAAACTAACAATTATAAGCTCGTATCGATACATTGATGTGATCGATAAGTGTATTAATAATAATGTTAATGTTATTACTATTAGTAATAAATTAATACTGATATTATTAATACTTATAATATTAATATTGATACGTTAATTAGTACATACATATAAAACGTTCCAAAGAGAATGAAGATGAATTGATTTCGTTAATTTAGAATTTCTGATAATATTATTAATTTATGAATAATGCTGTTGATATTATTACTATTAGTAATAAGTTAATACTGATATTTCTACATATACGGAATTATCTACATTGAGATGTACATATACAACAGGTTCTGAATTTTTTGTAAATTATTTAAAATTTTGTCAACGCATGATTTCAACATATTATTTATTTGTCTTCAGCAAACGTGTTTCCGTTAAATAATTTTCGATTACGATCGTATTCGATTAGAAATTCTCTTCGAGCATACTGAATAGCCAGTAGAATCGATCGTTTATGGTCAGACAATGGGGGGGGGCGTTCGAATACTATATTCTCAAGACTCTCGTCAAATTTTCTGATTTTCAATCTAAAAAAAGAAAAGCTTAAGAAATTGCGTTCAGTTATCCAAGTTTTATCGTAAATTTTTAAAAAATTTTAAAGCCAATTTTTCATGTTCCAATTTATTCGAGTTCGTCGAGTTTTTAATTTTATGTTTAACTTGCCATGAATATGATAGTTTATTGCAATTATTTTTCTCTTTATTATTCTTGAAGAAGTTTCTAGATATTGGAAGAAATTTACTATTAATTGCTTATTATCAGGTATCATCACAATAATCTAATATTTTTCAAATTGTCTCGAAACTTTCCTTTAACACTAGAGTCACCTAAACAATGAAGACAACCGATTCGTAATTTTTTCGCTTCTGATCCCAATATTCTCACTTCCGATTCATTACAAACTTTATATTCTAATCATTCTAATAACTCTAATATTAATAAGTGTACCGCAGATTTTTATAAACTGTTTCGCGAACGCTAGAAAATCATTACTTTACTGTGTTATCGCTAGCAAATTTCTGAAACAGGTAAATCATAAGGAAATACGAGAAATTAAATAACAAAATTACAAAAACTGACTTGTAATTGCAATTTCGTACAAAATTATCGTAACTTCGCAGAACAGAAGATCAATTGCATATTATCAAAAGAAATTTCATTACTTGCAATGGATGTTGAAATGAAAGGTTGAAGTGCAAGCAATGCTTTTTGAATCTAAAGGCCGACGCTAAAAACAGCTAATGAATAGAAGCTCGAGACTTTAGAATTCAAACGAACACAATTGAGAAACGCGTCGTGTTGGTGGATGAATGAGCATCTGAATGACTGTGTGTCTGTACACGTGGGGTGAAACGTGTGGTATAATACTTACGGTGCGTAAGGTGCGAACCATCGAACACATCCAGGCCCCTCTTCCAGAGCGTATTTCATGCTCAACGGATAACTCAATATAGGAACTCTTAACCGTTTACACAGTTTATACTGAGCTTTCACTAGCACGTGCAAACAATAGGTGCACAACATCCCTATGATCACTGTGGCTATGACACCGATTATCAGGCCGCTGTTGCAGAACGCGTTCGGCATCGCGAGTATCCCGGTGCCCAGGCTTCCTTTTAACAGATGTATCAAAGTCTCCGCGTTTCTGCAAAGAATTCAAACCACCCCTCCCCCCCCCCCCGCGGAAAAGGGAGAGATTAACATTGGATTAGATTCTCTATTCTATTGTTCAATAAAGTCTTAGTAAATGAAATCTCTGTAATTTGAAAGAAAGTGCTGCCATTTGATATTTTGACTAAAGGTTGATATATTATCACACAATCTTTCAT